GATGCCCTCTGCAAACACACAGTCATACACCTGGTGCTGACTTGTTTCATCAGGGTGGCAACTTTGGAACTTTGACTGTAGGTCACCTGATGAGCCCGCTCAAATGTCCTCAAGATGTCCAGAAGGCATCTGGAAGAAAATTCACTAGCTCCCGAGAAGGGCATGGTGCCCCCCGAAAAGAGCTAGGTACTCCTACCCACACCTAGGGGGATGTCACAATTCCCATTTTTTAAAAGGTTTTGCTAGTCCATTCTGGAGGAAAGCAGGGGAGGGAGGAGGGAGAAAGATCCCCTTAATAAGAGCAGAAAGGATTCTATTTTTAAAAAAGGGCTGCAGTGGGAAAAACAAAAGCCAAGAAGAGGGTGGACTAGAGCATTCTAGAGCTGGGCCAGAGACTCTGTTAAGGAAAGGAAGTCACAGCAGGCTGGGTTCTAGCCTGTGTGAGTCTTAGGAGTAGGACCTCCCATCTCTTCCCCTGTGTCACCACGGTGTGTATCTGATGCCTAGCTTGTCTGCTTCCTCCATACCTTTGAGAGGCCACAACACCCTGGTCCACAGTCCTATGGGCCGCTAGCAGCAGGGTTTCCAGCAGAATCTTGGTGGTGCTCCCGCCTTTCATCAGGGAAGAGCCACTGAGCCCCTCAGGCTAAGGAGGCAATGACAGTAACTGGGAGAAAGAACAACCCAGGAGTCTACCAGTTCTCCAGTTCATGACCCCTGAGCACGGAGAGGTGTTGGTGATCCTTCAGGTGGAGTGTGGTTGGTGATCCCTGAGCAAGAGCATGTTTGGGGGTCCCTATTAGACACTCACTCTGATTAGTGAGCCATGAGCACATCCTTTCCTGGTGGCCTTGACTGTGTTTATAAGGATGGATGCTGTCTCTTGTCAGTTGGGTCAAGGGTTTTCAGAGAATACTTTTCGTTCTTTTTCTTTTGTTTTCTTTCTTTTTTTTTTTCAAGACAGGGTTTCTCTGTGTAATAGCCTTCACTGTCCTAGAACTCTTTATAGACCAGGCTGGCCTCGAACTCAAAGAGAGTCCCTCTATTTCTGCCTCCTGAGTGCTGGGATTACAGGTGTGAGCCACCACTGCCCAGCCAGAGAGTATTTTTATTTCTGAGAACCTTCCCCACCATGTTTTAGGGTAGTCTGCCATTCCTTAGTATCAGATTCCCCATGCTCTGGACAGACACGTGGAACAGACACTCGGTGGTACAGATTTATAACATAGTACCTCACAAAGACTGCAGCAAAGAAAATGACATGACCAGTGATTAAAACAGAAGACTAAGGGCTGGAGAGATGGCTCAGGGCTTAACGGTGCTCACTGCTCTTGCAGAAGACCTGAGTTCAGATCCCAGTACCTACAACTGGAAAGCTCACAGCTGCCTGTAACTGAGATTCATGGTAACTAATACCCTCTTCTGGCCTCCATGGTCACCTGCATGCACACACACACACACACACACACACACACACGCACGCACGCACACGCACGCACGTGCGCGCGTGCGCACACACACAGACACACACACACACACACAGAGAGAGAGAGAGAGAGAGAGAGAGAGAGAGAG